TATTGTCGTGCTTTTTTGCAGCGACAATTGTGAGTGTTAGTTGGGAGTACCACAAGAAATCTCAATTAACTCCATAAGAAAAATCCAGTAGTACCGCAGAAAAAACTTCTAAATACCAGAGATTTCACCTCAATAATACCACAATGTCACCTCATTAACACTGTGATATCACCTCAATAGCGTCGAGGTGTTATTGGTGGCATGTTTTCTTGCGGTGACTATTGCAGGTGTTATTGCGGTATTATTGGAGTGTTATGGTGACATTTAGGTATTGTTGCGTTTGTTACCTAGGTGTTTAGCGGTTGTACTGAGTAGGTATTATAGAGTTATGTTTATGTTATTGCGGTTGATGCAGTTCTTATTGAGGTTGGTTTTGCTATGGCTATGTATATGTTGTGGTGATGTTATTGAGGTTATTATGGTTGTATTAAAGTTGTTATTGCAGTGTTATTGAGGTGTTATTATAATTGTGTTGATGTAATACCGTGGTGTTAATGAGGCGATACCGCGGTGTTATTGAGGTGATTTAACAATAAATAACACGAATGGCGCTTAATAGCGGATGGAGTATACAAAGAAAATTTGAGTTAGCATTACATGATTGAATTAAACTTATATAACTACCGAGTATAGTGACAATATATATAAGTATGACCACCATGATGGCAAAAGCATCAACATGCTCGTTTGCAAACCACCCGGTCTTTAATACATCGTCGAGTCTAGCGCGGTTTATCACAACACGAACCTCGTATTAGAGAGGGTTGTGTTGTAATCATAATATCATCCCTGCAGCATTAATAGAAAATTTGATTAGATCTGAAGCTAGGAAGCTAAATGCATAAGTGGCTCTAACTTTCGATTCTGTTATTGATTTGAGCACATCTGCATTGATTTCAATTATCTTTCTGTTGGAATATAAAAGATGCGTTTCAACAGGCTCCGCAAAGGGGTGTTTATGACTTTCTATGAACTTCTTAACTGACCAGTTGCCTTTGACATCAACAACATATCAAATTATGACTACACAACCAGTCCTTGTGTCCACTCTTTTGAAGTTTACTGTGTTGTTGAGGTTCAAATCTTTCTTGTAACTAGCCTTTACCACGTATAAAGTCCTTCCTCTTAATCTTCTTTGATTTCGGCTAGAAGCTACTGTGGTCATTTCGAAAAGTAAATCCAATATGGTGTGCATAAACGCAATATTGTTCATATGCTTTCTTTTCATTGTGAACAACTGTGCAAAATAATTGGATCATTGGTATCTTTTGAATTTGTTAACAGAAATTGACAACGATTCAGTACTCCGAAGCTTCTTCAACACCTCCAATTATTCTTAGATAAGGAGACTAGGGCCAACCAACCCTTCAAAAGAGATAGCTGCATGGGCCTTGTTGTCTTGATCTTTCCTCCCTTGTACAAGTTTCCAATCTATTGTCTTTCCATGTTGTTCCCAACAATTGTCCTTTATGTGACCAAGTTTCTTGCAATATTCACACAAGGGTGTGTAGAAAGTAGAGCTTTCAATGCTAGATGAACCCACACTTTCTGTCATTATGAGCTACTTCTTACTTTGCTTTTAACTTCAACAAAATCTTCCCTAACGATAAGGAAAGGCTTCAGACCCATAATTCTTCCTCTGCCCTCATCTAAGTTCTTATTTACATCTAATAAGAACTTGAATATTCTCTTTCTCCACTGTTATTTTATACATCAAAGCATCTTGATGGCACTTGCATATATATGCATCATACAAGAATTTTACTACAACCCATAACTATTTTCTGTAGGCTACCGAAACTCTCTCTGACAACCATTCCTCGGCTCTTACTTGCAGTACATCAAAGCATCTTGATGGCACTTGCATATATATATGCATCATACAAGAATTTTACGACAACCCATAATTATTTTCTGTAGGCTACCGAAACTCTCCCTGACAACCATTCCTCGGATCTTACTTGCACTAGCTAGTCATCTGGTTGTATTTCTTCTCCTTGCCTCCACAACAGCTATCAACCATTCGACTGGTCTTCTTGTCTGACAATCCTTCTCCTGGTACTTGACAACAATTGAATAATCTAGTGTAGGCAATCATATCTCCTTTCCAGTTTCCCTATAGGCCCACATATACTGTTTCTCTGCATGTCAGAAATGGGGCCATTTTATGCCATGTTTGGAAGATTATATGAAGTTATTCGATATAAGATTTTGGAAGTTATTCCGATATCAGATTTAGTTTAGCAGTATATCTGCCATTAGATGTCCAGACGAAGGACGAACCACAGCTTTGAAAATTATTGAAGGAGTTTGAGGGTAGAGAAAACTCTTTAATAGGATTCAATTCTTATAAGTGAAGAAGAAGATGTCTCTCCTGAGTGGTTACTAGTGAAAGTGACATAACCTTCCATGAATTTCACCCTATAGTTAGTTTAGCAGTATATCTGCCATTAGATGTCCAGACGAGGGACGAACCACAGCTTTGAAAATTATTGAAGGAGCATGAGGGTAGAGAAAACTCTGTAATAGGATTCAATTCCTATAAGTGAAGAAGAAGATGTCTCTCCCGAGTGGTTACTAGTGAAAGTGGCATAACCTTCCATGAATTTTACCCTATAGTTGAATGCCAACAAAAGTGACTTACCGGGAAGTTACAGTAGCTCCCTCACTTTCAACACGAGTTCACGACTGACCCGACTATTATGAGAAAGCAACGACAAAAAATTTCAAAACTCCCACCCTGGTAGACTAATGCGGGAGCTATCAGGACCCCTCCCCCTTTCCACGATTATAGTACAATACCTGGATGTGGTTCACACGAGCGACACAAAGTCAAACTGAGAGGCACTTAGTCAACTCATTTCCAATTTTAGCATGTTTCCTCTTTTCCTTTCATTTTTTTTGAAGTCTTCCCATATATGTGTTGTATTAGGGTTTAGATGAGAGTTTTTGGTGTTTTTATTTTGAACAGTCGTCGGCATCCACTCTTCTCCTTTTGAGTGTTGTATCCAACGGATAGAGTGTTGCTCCGGCTGTATCCCTCTCCCGAGGTGGCGATTATCATCTCCCGTCCCTTTCTGTCTCCTTCTATGCTCTTCTACTCGCTTCGTCCCTACTGCAGCCGCTTGGACAGTTTCCTGTAGTTCTTCTCCTGCCCTTGTTGTCCCCGTCTTCTACCTTAGCTGCTGCAGCCTGCAAATTCTTTCACTTGCTTACCACTGCTTGAATCTGCACTCATACCCAGCCGCCCTTGCTGCCCGCATCCCAGACAGCCGTTCCATGTGATATCGGCTGTGTTTTTGCTGTTCGGAACTTGGGAAACCGTCATTTTTTCTGTTTTCAGTTTGCCAACCACCCCGTCGACCATCCCACTGCCTTCCAATCTTCACTGACTCATCTCCACTACTTTTATCCAACCGTAGCCACGTGTTGTGTGTCGGGTGCGTTCTTATTTTCTATTTCTGTCTAGTTGGTTGCAATTTTCCTTTCAGTGTGTTAGTCGTAATTGCCTGATTGGCTTTCTATTAATAATATTTGATTTTTTTTTATTGTGGTCTGGGTTCTCCGGTTTCGACATCTCTACCCTCAATGCCCTTTAACATGTATATTAAGTAATCTGCTCTTATGTCCATCAGTTAAAAGTACCCAAGTATTGCCGCCTTCATTATAGTTCAGTTTTCAAAAGAGAATGGAATTCGACTCCCAAAAAATGGTCTAACTTGCACTCTCTCAAATCTGTTAAAAGTTCTCATTATCCTCCATAGTTAAGGAGTGTCTTGCGAATTTGCAGTTGAAGATGCTTACTATGGATGTTGTAGCATCGTAAGCTTTTGAATTGCAAGAGGAACACACCTTTTATTCAGTAAATAACGACGAGCCTTTATCATAGCATTGTGGGTTTAGCTTATAGTTGAATAATATTATGCAACAAAAATGAAATGGAATAATAGTGTTTGACGGATTTATTGGGAAGTCAGTCAACATATTATGTCGGAATGCCTATGAAAATCTAGTCTTTTGTGAAAAATTTATGACTTTGTAGCGGATGCCAAAGTTTAAAAATGGTTAATGAGCTGGTTAGACTTGGCTTGGCCCTATGTAACATGCTTGAGCCAGGCCTTAAGGTTAACCCAATCCTAGAACCAATTGTTAGATGTTGGCGGCCTGGTGGAAAATAACACTCAAAGAGTAAAATTAATGTTTGAATTCATTTATGAATTTTGACAAAAGTAATGCAAATGGCTGTTGACCTACTATCAACCTTCATTGGTTCTCATATAAGCTTTGAAACAGCAGTGTTTTTTTTATTTGTATGAACATTTGTTTCTGGTTTTATTTACATCTTATGTTCACTTTCCAAGAATTACTATTTAGTTTTTCTTCAAGTTTGAGGAAAAATACTTCTAAATGTTCCGTCTCCTTGCTGATTATTTTCACTGTTTGAATTTAGCTTTTCTAGTTCATTAGTGTTGACCCAGTTTAACTTTTGGCTAGGTCACTGGATTTTCTGTTGGGGGTCGCGTTGTTGATGGGAACGGTGGAGTTAGTGGAGCAAGCATTATTGTAGATGGGCAGCAAAAAGCCACTTCTGATAATGAAGGATTCTATAAACTCGATCAGGTGTAATGATCTCTCTCTGTCCCTCTTTGTTTCTCTTTTTGTTTATGTATGTATGTATATGTATATATATTTTGTCTTTTATCCCTGAAAACAATGACCTTTCTATTTGTACGTTTACCACTTATTTTTGGCGCTTAAATTCAGGATCATACCATCTTTTTATTTGATCTATGGCATAATTTTAATCTGTATTGATGCCCACTAACTTTCATAACAATTTTACATTATTCAAGCATCTGAAAAAGAAAACAGTGATTATTGGAAAGCAAATAGATGCCTATATAAAAGTCTAGTTTTGCACATGTATTTTGCTTTTAAAATCTATTTACTACACTCTAAATATTATTAATAAACCATCTATTTAATTTTAATTTTAAAATGTATAAACTTTGAAAATCCCAATTTTCTTTTCATGTTTCTGGATTAATTGTCTTAAAATGTTAGTCATCTAATTGATAATCAAATACTTTTAGAAGTTGATTAAATTGAGCATGACACTAGTTTTAATGATGTTATGGAGAATGGGGGGAGTCAATCACATTTGAATGTTAGAACAGTAAATGTTCTAAGGGGTAGAGGATGACCTTTCTCTCGCTAGGTGAGAAAATCAAACCCTTTATATATATATATATATATGTTTCGAAAAAACATGTCACCGTTTCGCTCTGCTAGGGTTTCGCCCCATGGCGAACCCTAGCATCCTTCGGCTTCGGGCTTTACTCGTGTCGCTTGGTCTCGAGTCGTGTGCTTCCATTCGCATCGTCTCGCGTTTGTGTTCGCATCTCATCTGGCGGCAGTGCTGCGCCTTCGTGCCTTTGTCTCGTCTGTGACAGTTCGTGAGCCGATCAACACCTTCCTGCTTCTGCTGCGTCTCCTCTGCGACAGAGCCGCCCGTTGTTGCGTCTCCTCTGCGACTTTTGCGATAGAGCCGCACGTTGTTGCGTCTCCTCTGCAACAGAGCAGCCTGGTCTGCGACAGAGCCGTTCGACACTCGTGCAGCTTCTCACTGTGCTGCAGATTGGCACTGGCTGCGGTAATGGCCTCAGGGCTTTCCTATGCTGCCGCCCTCGCCGGTGATAACCCCGCCAAACCCTACTATGCTACTGTGGTTTACAAATACAGCTCCCCTTTTCACATCGCAAATAGTGCAGTATTCCCGCGGATTTATCATGATTCAGTTGCAGGAAATGACGACTGCAGTTGCAGGAAATGATGACTGCAGTTTCATCAAAAAAGTAGAGAAAAAGACGGGCAAACCAACAATTTTATTTTCTGATGTTGAAATTTCAGCTCGTGCAGTAAAATACAAATTTACACTAGTTGAAAAGTTTCAATTAGGTTGCCCTAAGATGGAGATCATCAGAAGGCTTTTGAAGATTTCAAACTGATTGGGGATCGACAAGTGGGTCATTTCGACGGAAGACATGTTATGATACAGTTGAGCATAAAAGATGATTACACGAGGATTTTCTCAAATAAATTCATCACATTTGAGGGCAAACATATGAAATTGCTCAAATGGACCCCCAATTTTGATCCCAGTCAAGATGCCCCAATTGCACTTATCTGGTTCTCATTACCCGAACTTAAGTTTCATTACAATTGCACCTATCTGGTTCTCATTACCTGAACTTAAGTTTCATTACTTTGACCTACCTATCTTATATGTAATTGAGACTATCCTTGGGAAACCTTTGCAGGTAGACTTATCTACAGTTCGTTTCTTAAGACCCTCTATAACAAGAATTTTGATTGAATGAGATATTACACTACCAAATGTAGAAGAAGTCTTGCTTGAATCTGCTCACAATAGTTATTGGAAAAAATTGATAAGGAACAAAAACCATACTACTGCAAGCATTGCAAGATGTTTGGACACCTTTTTGATTGAATGAGATATTACACTACCAAATGTAGCAGAAGTCTTGCTTGAATCTGCTGACAATAGTTATTGAAAAAAATTATTAAGGAACAAAAACCATACTACTGGAAGCATTGTAAGATGTTTGGACACCCTGGACACCTGCAGGAGAATCGTTTCAGATTTCATCCACAGTTGAGAACCAATATTTAAAAGCAGGAACACACTATTAGTACACCCCATGTGCCTGAACGCGCTCCCAGCAAACCTGATGACAACCAGTTTGAGGAGGGAATCACCAAAAGACAGGTGTTGGTGTTTGCCCCTAAGATCCCTTCTCCTGACCATACTACAACGGATAATGTTCAACATAATGTTCCTACAACGGATAATGTTCAACTGAAAATCAAGATAATCCCGCAACTCCTATTCAGGAAGCATCAGGTGCAGAAGTAATAATTCACACTTCACATACACTGTAACCTATCGCGGTGGCAACGACTGTCTTTCCTCCTACTGCGGTGCTAACATCAAATCAGATCGAGGATCACATGAGCCGGTCTTTAGATGAAGAATGACAGGTTTACACTTCTTGGCGGAAGAAGCTGGGGGCTCACTTAATTTGAAAACTTAATATATGATACTTTTGTGACTCCTGGCAGTGGCAGGACTCTTCAAAGTTTGTTATCTGGTTCCGCTCCTAAAACTAGAGGAAGAGACAAGACTAAATTGCCTCGTCTCTAGCTACTTGTTTTCTGCATGTTTTAAGTTGTTTTACATTTTATTGAGTCTATCTGTATCTTTTTGTTTGGGTATTACTGTACTTGTATCGTATGGTAGGGTGCCTCTTTTGAGCTCTTCTCATACAACCTTTATGTATCCTTTTCTATTTCAATAAAATTAGCCCTTGGATATATATATATATATATATATATATATATTCTACCTTTGTGTGTATGTATGTGTGTACATGCGGGTTGGTGTGTTTGTGTGCGTTCGTGCATGCCGGTGGAATTTTATATGAGACATATATTTAGAAATTTTAATATGATACATATTTGAAAGTAAAATTTAGGAATACAATTTCTTTTAGGAGGGAGTGTGTGGGATTCTAAATGAATTATGGAAAATCATAAATTTTTGGATTTAAATATATAATTTTATTTGATTTATTCAAATTTGAAGAAATGACAATTTTGCTGTAGAAATAAATAGCTTAATCATGATTCTTAGCTTATGGGTCTTTGTTATATTAATGACACTTAATGATGGGTTTATGAATAAAAATTTTTATGATAATAAAATATGGATTGTGTACTTTACAGTAAAGTGGTTCTTTTGTTGTGATTGGAGGATGAATGATTCCTCAAGTGTTTAGGAAGGAGTTTTATAACAATAAAATTTGATATGGGTTGTGGTGAAGAATATTCCGACATAATCAAATCTAATTACAAGTGTTGAAAATTTTTAGTTGTTAATTTTGAAAAGGATGATATGTATCATTTAGCCTTTAAACTACTAGTGTTTAGTAAGGATGTTAATTTGTTTTTCCTGTTAATATTTTGAATTTGGAGGTTGAATTTAAGAAGCAGAAAAATGCTGTCCTTAGCTGTGTTTCATTAAATCGTGCTATTTTATTTACGATTTTAATGTTATGGAATTTTTACACCTTCCTATTATTTCACTAAATTATTTAGACACACTCCACTTATCTTCCTTTTACCGTATCCTGAATTGTTCAGGTTACTTCTAAGCATTATACAATTGTGGCGGAGAAGGACCACTACAAGTTCAGTGCTCTGGAGAACTTTTTGGTAATTTATTATCATGTTCTAGAATTCGTGTTCTCACCTTTTGGTCTTGTTGTTTTATGCTTAACGGAACCTATATTTTGCATTAAGAATTGTATTAATATCATGACCTATTATGGTAGGTTCTTCCAAACATGGCTTCTATTAATGATATTATAGCGATCTACTATGATGTTTGTGGCGTTGTTCGAGTGATTAGTCCAAACTCCATTGCTAAGGTAAATAACTTCTCATGGATTATGTAGTTGGGATCATTTGATGATTACTCAAAAATGTAGTCCTCTGCAATTTATGTAAAATTCAGGTGGCATTAACGCATGGACCTGATAATTTTAAGCCTCAGGCAAAACTGACAATGGAGAACGGCAGCTTCTGTTTTTTGGTGTGTATAACAACATTTACTTTATTAGTATGTAGCATTGTACAGTTTTTATTCACTTAGCTGATTTTTCCTAGTTTGTTTCCTACTTGTGTGCTTGCTTGTTTCAGTAATGCAGCTAGAATTATCTCTAAGCTACTATGGAGTTTTACTCATGTTTGGTGGGGTATACGGTCCACATGAATCAATTACATGTTAAAATGATGTTCTTAGAGAGTAATCAAATTGTGACCTTTTTAGACTACACTACATAAAGTAGGCATGTTCTTGCTGTTGAGTTTTATTTAACGGGGATTGCTTGAATTTTATACTTATAAGTGATTCCCTATCGTATGACTTACAAGTTTTAATCCAGTCAATTTTTATTCATTCCCTATCGTATGACTTACAAGTTTTAATCCAGTGAATTTTTATTCATATGATTATGTAGTGATATGTTATTTATATGATTATGTTGTGAATTGTTATTGCAGCATCATGTTTTGTTAATTGCTTGATGTTCTTAATAGATGCAGTTGGCACTTTTATTTTATTAGAAAGCATGTAAAGTGGAAGAAAACTTTTCATATCTTTAAATCTTCTTTTTCATTTGAACTACATATACTTATAGATTTTGATATTGTCTGATCGCTTGAGAAAAACCAATGCCTTCATCAAGCCTTGTGACTTGGAAAAGAGAACCCGGGAGCATTAGATTTATTTTAACAAAAGTTTCCTTGTGTTGTGTTAGAATTTATGTATATTCAGGGGTGAGATTTTTTCTGAGTGCAAACTCCAATATTTAATTACTTTTTTTGTTAGTGGGAGAGCATTCTTGATTAAGGAAATTAATTAGGTTGAATTTTAGGATTATATTTAATATATATATATTTTTCAATTTAATTGATGTGCAATGATTTGAGGTATGGTGGTATGCATCATCATTATATGATGATTATGTTATCTCTGATATGCTAACTAATCCAATCTTCCATCATTATGGGATTGAGCTGCAATGTCTAGGTGACTTGATTAAGAACCATGTGTTGCTTTCTCTTGGATATTATACGGATGTTGTTGGAAAATCATGTTACGTAAGTAGGATTGTATTTGTTAATTTTCTTTTATTGAGAGGTGGGGTTGACGTTGAACATTATGTGGGTTAGGCAAATGAAGCTAAAACGTCAAGTTACGAGAGAGCCCAATAAAGCTCTCAAGTAAGATACCAATCAAGGTTGATCACAAGAGCTTAATCAAGAAGAATTAATTGAATTTAAGATTTTATTATTTAAATTTAATTTCTAAATTCTAAAAATTTGGCTTTTAAAATTTGTAAAGGTTTGGACCACGGGATGGATTGTTGTCATGGCTCGGGGGTGTTGCCACGCCAATGTCGGGTGTGACTACACTCGGTTACTTACAGCTGTCGCTACATCCAAACCGGGCGTGAACACACCAAGAAACTCTAGGCATGGCTACGCTTTGACCATTCGTGACTGACCCGACGTGCAATTACGCAGATATTTATGTTCCCATGGCTACGCTTTGACCATTCGTGACTGACCCGACATGCAATTACACAGATATTTATGTTCCCGAATATGGCTAAAATTTTGACCCAATTTATATTTAGCAGCTACTGAGAACAAATATAATATTATAAAATTTAGATTAATAGTTTTCTTACTAGAGGTATTACACAAGTATACGTATCGTTTCAAGTAATATAGAGTTTTATTTAAAAACACCATTATCGATTCCAAAAGAAAAATTCAAGGAAAGAGGTAAATTTAGGAATTTAACTATGAAAAACCTTTACTTAGGACTCTAGAAAATATTTAAAGTAATTCAAGCGATGTAATAAAGTTTACTAGTTCCACATTTCTCTCCAATAAATTTATCATTTTCTTAAATGATTTTATCCTGTTATCTCTATAATAGGTCCAGTTTGCAATGAAAATTTTCAGATTTTTGAATGGTAGAATTATTTTATAGAATTTCTTTCTCACTTTGTTGGTGTCCTAGCTTGACCTTTCCTTGATAGGTTTGATTATAATCTTGTAGATATGGTCTAATTTTCTCAAAACCTCTTCTCAATCACCTTCACGCCTCTTTTTACATTCTAACTGACACATAAGCCTAGCTAACCACCACCCGATCTTTCAAACCCACTCCAAAATCTTCTTTGTATCTTACAGGTAAGCCTAGGAAGATAGTTACCTAGCCTTGCACCCTACCCCACTACAAAGCCTTAAATCCAATCAAATTCCAAATACTCGAAATTTAAAGTTCACATTGTTAATTTTCTTTTTTAAGAGATCTTTCAAATCAGTCCAAAATTGCTCAAATATAACTAGTTTTGTTCTTCTTTCCACCAAGCCCAACTAACAGCCTCACCTTTCTACTCTGTACTCTGGTATACTAGCTAACATCTTAAGGCTAACCATTGCTCATAAATTCCTGTATTAGCACAACTTAAAATTTATTTCCTAGATTGGTCTTTTAAATCTTCAAATTAGCTTAAATTGAATTAGTCTCGGCATCCTATTTATCAAATTGTCATAACATCTCCAACATAAACTTTTTATCATATCCTAAGGACTTAAAAGTAAAAATATATATTAATTTCCAACTATGAATCCACCGAAAAGGCCCCTCCCATCACTATGAGTGGGTGGAGGGCTGGTGGTTTTATTAAGATGAATCCACCGAAAAGGCCCCTCCCATCACTATGACTGGGTGGAGGGCTGGTGGTTTTATTGAGTAGTTATTTTGTAAATTTTGTTATGTTGGTTTGGGATTACCTATTGCAAATTTAGATTTATTAAATAAGGAATTCATAAAAGTTTGTTTATGTTGGAAAGACTTCTTTGTTATTAATGTTGTTAATGAGGGAAGGAGTGTTAGTGGAATTTTTGATTTTGCCATAATCATCTGGCTAGAGCTTGTAGCTGGGCAGGGGACAAATGACTATGACATGTTTTGTGTGAGTTGATCAATGATAGGTCTATTTAGGTGCTCAGTTATTGCAGTCAGTCGTACATTGCTCTTGGCTTTTAGGTTTTTAGTTTATGTAGGCTGACAAGTGACTGCAGTTTCGGAGCAGGTGTTTCCAACCATCGCTAGAGGCATACCTGTAGTGTTGTTTGGCTTTCTGCTGGTGCAGGTGGCTCATGTTCAGTCTTGCAAGATAGCTTCCAATCTTTGAAACCAAAAGAGCCAAATTCATTCTTTGATTTTTCCATTCTACTGGTTCCAAGCAGGTAACTAGTGGGAATAAAGTTATTCCTCTAAAATGCTCAACTTCATAAATATTTCCGGTGCCTTGGTTTCGCCACATTGGTTTGAATTGCCCCTTTCGGTGAGTAATTATACTCATTGAGTAAATGAAGTAAGGAAATTGTGTGGACTAAAATGCACCCAAACCGGAAGAACACTTTGTGCTGATGGTGAGCTAATCTTTGTTCAAATGGTGTTGGATGTCTGCATCGAGAACATATCTTGTTGCTGCACTGCATCTTTCATACAAATTGCATTGTTTGCGGGAAGTTGTGCAATGTAATTATTGGTGGGAGATGTTTCAAGAATGTCGTTTTCACCAATGTAGTGGAGAAATTTAAGCTCTTAATGCAAGAGAATCCAAGGCCCTGTAAGATTTCTTTGTTCCAGAAGGAAAGTAAGATCAATGTGGCGAAGTATTGCTTAATGCATTTCTTCTGTTTGCAATCAAATTCTACAGCACTGTTCATGACGCGCATAAGAATACTTACACTTTAGAGTGAGATGGAGAGCAGTGGTGCTTATTCCACTAAATGCAGGTGTTTGAAATGCTCCAATGAGGATAAGTTGGTTTCCAAATCAATTTTCATGTCGGACATGCTTATGTCTTTGTGGTTCTTGAGGAGAATTAAGGTAAATGTGAAGTAAGGATGTTCAATTGCTGCTACATTAGTTTTCTGATATGCTAGCAATCAAACTTCCTACAGGATTGTCTATGCATGATGCATAGCCTGCTTTGAACCACATTTCACGGTTGTCATCCGCTACTGACATGCACTTGTCGGGAATTTCTAGTGGTCTATTGTAATGATATCTTGGTGTTTAACTATTTTCTGGGAGATTATCTGCTATCGAGCATATCATTGAAATGCTGCAGCAATACAAAATGTTTGCTAGTATCAAGAAGGATGGAGAATGAATGCAATTATTGTAGAGTGATATGCTTCTCAATATTTTTCAAATGTCCAAGGATTCGTGGGCTTATGTGTTCTATTGATGTTACTTGAAACATGCTAGCTTACTGGCTCTCTTGTTTGAACTACTAGATGTACATTCATGTGGACATCAAGGCCAAGGCCCATGACAACTCCTAACTCTTAAATTAAAAAAACCATTGAGGCGCTTATTTTGGTTCTCCCAAATTTCAATTATGCGTTTAATATACATTGTGATGTCCCCAATTTGAGGATTTTGGTCATTCTAATGCTAGGCGGTCATTTAGTTACTTTTCTTTTTCCCAATGAAAAGTTCAATCAAACGCTCCAAAAAGTATCGTACACACGACAAAAATATCTATGATATATTCTGAGTGTAGGAACGTTGGAGTCAACTCCTCCTAGCCATTGAATTTTTTTTCTTCTTGAAATCCTCAAGTACCAACACCACTAAGGCAATATAAAGGTTGCCATGTCAAGTGGGTTGAATTCGTTTCATTCTTTCAATACACAAAGCCAAAATAGTTTTTCATAGCTGTGGTGGCCGTAGGTGCCAACAAGCTCTTCCAAGCATAGTCGGGGTCAAAAGTAGTTGGTTTTGAGATGATATTAGAACTCTATCCCAAAGATGGGGATTTAAAAAAAAAATAGTGATGCGTACTAGAAAATTTGCAGCGGTTGAGTAATGAATTATCGTCTTAGCGTTGCGCGAGGATTCAACACACACTCAGATGAAAATGAATCAACATGTGATGACACTAGAAGTTTTACGTGAAAAACCTGTAAATGAAAAAAACCACGGGGCCTGAC